AATCACAAAGTTTATAAACACAGAATTCACAATATGTTACATTTTTATGTATAATTTGTAACACTGGGTGCACATTATGATATATTTTGTAACACATTTATTAATTTTTAATAGGTTAGATATATATTTAGCGCTTTTCTTTTTTTCATTTATATATTTATGTTGTACTGGTGGAGAGTTATTCACAGTAATCTGGGCACCTGTTTTTGTTTTATTGAGATCTATTAATCCATTAGTGAAGAACGTATATTTATTATTTTGTTTCAGAGCCTCCTTTATAGATATGTAGCACTGTGAGGCTTTCGCAACTGCCACTGAGAGCTATGGACTGTACGCGGACTTGCAATGACGTCAGTGGAAAATAAAAGTCTGTTTTCTGGCTACAGAATACATTTTTTTTTGCAGCTCTACGTGAGGAGATGGAGGTTGGGATGGAAGTAAGGTTTGTTACTGGAATTTAAATGTGAAAACAGTAGTTTCTAAAGAAAGTAAAACATATCAGTTGTTTATGATGCATTGTACTTTAGTAACCTAAGTGTTATATAGTTAAGGTTTAGATCTACTTTAACTATAAAATTAAGAAATAATATATACCTGCCTAGCACATCAGGCATATAATCTAGTATAACCATGGAGAAGGGGGTACAGTAAGCACTTAGGCCCCCATGCCAATACCATCTCATTTGCTTTTTTGCACCAGACAGGTGGTACAAAGTGGAGTTCTTAAAAATGCATGTCCCCAAAAGAGTAGCAGGCAGCAAGTATTTGCTTGACCCCAGTAATTTGCCACCTCTGCCTCCAGTGGCCTGGTAAGTGGGTGCTGGTTCACCACTTTATTACAGGTGATTAAAAAAATAGACCCTGTGGTATTCTTTCTCACATCAGTTTTTCTAACTAAAAAAAACCCAACTTCTTTCTTGCCCCTCTACCCCTTCCCTTCGCTCTCCTCCCCCACTTCTCTATCTCTTCTGGCTGGGTCCTGAGCCGGGTGCCGCGTCCTTCTGCTGGTGCCATGGGACCCTTTCAGGTGACCTCTCTGAATGCCCGAGGGCTTAACCTCCCGGAGAAGCGGTCTAGACTACTCTCTGATCTCAGACGATCGCGTACCCAGGTGGCATTTGTACAGGAAACCCTTTTTTGGAGTGACCAGATTCCCAGACTCCTCAACAGGGATTTTCCATCGTCCTACCACTGCCCCTCGCCCTGTCTAAATCTAAGGGGGTGAGCATACTGTTATCCCGGGTCGTCCCATGGACTTTTGGGAGCCAATTGCTGGATGTTAATGGGCGGTTCATTCTCCTAAAGGGGAAAGTGGGGGAAACTCAGGTCACATTCGCAAACGTGTACTTTCCTAACACTGACCACTTGGGGTTCGTACGGGACTTGATACCTCGACTCCTGGAATTTATGGAAGGGGTGCTGATTATGGGAGGGGATCTCAATTTCCCGCTAGACCCACTATGGGATGTCTCCACGGGGACTTCCCATCTGTCTTACAGATATTTGAGGAAACTGAAGACTGAATTACACCTTCTCCATCTAGTTGATACCTGGAGGTTTTGCCACCCCAAAGGGAAGGATTTTACATACTTTTCTGCTCCCCTCCAAAGATACTCCCGACTGGATTACCTGTTTGTACAGCACAAAGACCTTCCATTGGTGGAAGGGAGCAACTATAGACACCATACTGATGTCGGACCATGCCCCTTTGCACCTGACTCTGGACCTATTGACACCGAGATCCCCCTGCCCCTCATGGAGACTCAATGGGGGAGATTTACTAACCTAAACACACGCACGCACTAGGTGTGTGTGATTTTTACACAGCAAAACGTATTTATCAACCAAAAAGTCTCTAAAAGCATATTTCCACTAATGCCATATATGGAAAAATCATGCACATGATGCATATATAATGCTGCTTCACAGTTTAGACAAAAATGGTTAGCTCATGCATTTACATTCCTGCATTCATCAACGCAAGCCACACAATGTAGAGCTAATTTACACAACATCACCTTGCAATTCATGCAGGGCTTTGCACAACACACCTGCTGGGTGTGTACACACTACAAAGGTGTCTAGATTCCACCAATAGATCATGCTGAGAGGGAACACACTACAGAGGTGTATACTTGTTTGTGGCGTGTTTATAAGGTTAGTAAATCAACCCCAATGAGTCACTTTTACAAAACCCTGTGGTTAAATCTTGGGGCCTCTGGGATGCCCTCCTTGACGGCCGAGGAGAGAGACAGCATAGAAACCCCGATCAGGCCTGAGGAGTTGATGCTGGCGCTGAAGACTGCTCGCTCGGGCAAGGCCCCGGGTCCTGATGGCTTCACGCTCCCCTATTATAAGACCTTCTCTGACTTTTTGATAGATCCCTTCCTGGGGGCGTATAATGCCATCCTGACCGGTTCCTCCCCCCCAGCAGACACCCTGCGTGCCTGGATCATGGTGATCCCAAAGCCTGACAAGGACCTTACTCTTTGCAATAACTACCGGCCAATAGCACTCCTCAATGTGGATTTAAAACTGTTCGCCAAGATCCTGGCTGCCCTTTCTTCCCCAACTGATTCATCCGGATCAGGTGGGCTTCATGCCGGAATGCGAAGCTAGGGACAATACCACCAGAACCCTCAATGTTGTTCACCAGGCCAGGGTGGCGGGGACCCCGATGATCCTGCTCTCTACGGACGCAGAAAAGGTTTTCGATAGAGTGAGCTGGGACTTTATGTCGGGGGTCCTCCGGCATGTTGGTCTGGGGAGCAACATGATGGCATGGATCATGGCACTGTATTCGGCCCATACGGCTGTGGTTCGCGTAAACAAAACCAGATCACAGGTCTTTCCCCTTACTAACGGGACCAGACAGGGCTGCCCACTGTCCCCCCTGATTTTCGCTCTCACTTTAGAACCATTCCTTCAAACTGTACGAAACTCTGCGAATATCACGGGATTGGACACTCCCTCGGGTCCCACAAGACGGCTGCATATGCAGATGACCTCCTTTTCTATCTCACGAATCCGGAGGCATCCATTCCTCACCTGCTCCGAGCTTTTTCCACATATGGCCAGCTCTCCAATTTTAAGTTCAACGTTCATAAGTCGGCCGCTCTCAATATCACGGTGCCCCCGGCGGCCATCGTACTCCTGCAGCCTCGCTTCTCCTTTCGTTGGGAGGTACACCATATCCAGTCTTTGGGGACGTTGATCCCCAGGGACCTGGAAGGAGTCTACTCTGCCAACTTCCTTCCATTGCTAAAGAAAATAGCCCCGGACTTCAAAGCATGGCGCCCCCTCCATGTCTCTTGGCTGGGACGCTGTGCCGCGGTAAAAATGAACATACTGCCGAGGGTCTTGTACCTCATGCAGGCGCTTCCTATCAGTCTACCGGCCCAATTTTTCAAAACCCTACATGGGGATATGGTATCTTTTATCTGGGGGGGGGTAAGACCCCCAGGTTGAGCAGACGCATCTTATCACTGCCCAGGACCCGAGGGGGGGTGGGGCTTTCAGACATGTCTATGTACTACTCGGCAATACACTTATCCAGGCTCAGGGTAAGACATGGGTGGCAATAGAGCAGAGTGTATACCGGTTCCCAATAGAGGGTCTTCCATGGCTCTCCTCTGCCATACCACACGAAGTCAAATCTCACCCGCTGCTTTACACGACCCTTCGAGTATCGCGCAGGGTACTAGGGACGTCCACCTTGTCACCTTTACCGTCGCCTCTGACGCCAGTCCTTGGGGACCCTGATTTCTCGCTAGGAACCGACAACGGCAGATTACGCCGGGCCCTCCTACATGCCTCTAAATTTCGGCTTCGAGACTTCAGGGGACCAGGGGGCTGGCTGCAGACCTCAGATATACAATCCCTCACAGATCCCCCTGTGGACTTCTGGAGCTCCCTCTCCTTACTACTGCAGGCCTCCACTGGGGATGTACCGCTACATTTCCTGCACAGTTGGGAATCTGAGCTAAATGTACTTTTTCGGAGCAACAGAGAGACACTATCCTAGCGATGCCATTTAAAGCCTCGCTAGCGAACCGAGATCAAGAGTCGGGATAAAAGATCCTGACACGATGGTATAGGGTGCCATGGTTGCTCCATAGAATGAATAGCTCGATTCCGGACTTGTGCTGGAGATGTGAGGGGGCTCAGGGTACGATGCTACACATCTTTTGGACCTGCCCTGACCTGCGGGCCTTCTGGGAGCGGGTGTTGGAGCTGATTGAGAACTTGACAGGCGCGGACCTCCGGGACGACCCCGCAGCATGCCTACTTCATTTGACTAAACACCCGATCCCCAGATATAAACGATCTTTGACACACCATCTGTTGAATGCAGCTCGGGTGTGCATCCCCCCTGAAATGGAGGGATCCTCGCCCACCCACTGTCCGGATGGGGCTCGCTAAAGTACAGGATACTGTAAAAAAAAAATGTATCCCATGAAGAGACCTTCAACAATGCGGCAGAGCCGTTCCTCTTTCTATTTTTTCTTCTGAAATAGAAATATCTAAATATCTCTGAAAAAATCTACCTTCCATTTGCCCAGTGGCATAACAATCCCTATAGCGACCCAGGCAGCCGCTATGGGACCCA